CTGACTATTCTGGTAATGGTAGACTTATTTGCTACTTGATCTAGGGTATTTGCGACCGGTTGTTTGCAGCTAACCAGAATCCACATTGTGTCCAGCACCGATCATACTTCCTTTAATCAGTATACTTACCGGTTGCTATTGTTTAGCGTCGCAGCTAGTAATTGAGTTAAGCACTAGAAGCAGAACACACCTGTCCCGCATATATATAATAAACCGGTGCCATATGGAGAGATAGAACTTACAGTTCGTAGTGGATGGCTCTGTAGACGAATGGAGTCGCTAGAACGATTGAACGTCATAGTATCGTTTGCTTTAAATGTAACTTTGGCGTGGATCATACAGGGCCGTGAATGGAATAAGATAGGCCATGGATACTCGTAAAGTCATTTGGCAGGCGCGGAAGCATACGTCAAGACAGACTTTTTAAGCGTTCGCTAGTAAAACTTAAGCGCACGCAAAAATGTTGGCAAATTTCGAATAAACACAATAAATAACTCCAACAAATAAATACCCTTTACGCGAAAATGCAAGGTAACAAACCAATCGGCAACACACTACGGAAGGAGACCTACGATGGGTATGCCCTATAGGCAATCTCAGAGAAGAGACGAAATCCTCAACTGTGCGCGAGTCACTAAAAGTTCGGAGAATATTGCTTGACAATACATTGTCTGGTGGCCCCTAATGCAATGCATTAATGCCTATTTTGCTCCGGAATGGTGTAGGAACATCAAAAAATCGCACAACTTGGTTAGTATACATAACATAAAAACTAAAAAGATTATGCTACCACTTATATGCGTTTAAAGTATGCTACATATCCTACGTTTTGTTAGTTGACCAACTATTGTTTATTTGTTTTACCGCGTAACATCAGCTAATCAAGACGTACTTCGCACTTTCCATCCTCACCCTATAATTATTGGTAGCGATCAGCTCTTACTAGCGCGAAATCTTTTTGAATACAGCGACGCAGGGTTCTGTCGATTGCGTGAGACTATTTCGACGTAAGTAAATCTAAATTTGGTGCGCAGACATGTCGGGGCATTGCGATCACAGTTAAGCAATTCCTATACATATTTACCTACTTTGTATTTTTCTAACAACTATGTAACTGCGTCAACGTTCATGTATGCGATTACTGTGTACATATGACTGAAGTTTGTGTTACAAAACCGTTCATATGCTAACGTATTTGATATTTAACGACAGGACCTTGTTATTGCTTTTATTCTGATATCTGTATATATATATGAAGGTTATTTACACTGGTGTCGGATTTGTATGCTTTTTCTTTACGATATGCAAGCCACGTGCGTAGTTTCAGTTTACTAAAAAAATTTCAATTAAGCCTTTTGTTATGTTTCTTAAAATTATGTAGCTTTTTATTTACATGCTATTCACAGTCCATGTCCTAACCATTCTGTCCTGTCTTCATGTTTAGGCGTTTAAGTTTGCAACAGGAAACCTTTCCGTTTTCCTGACAAATTCCCATCTTCCTACTTAGATTCTATTTTCTTTACTTTTCCTCGCCATTGGTATTATTGTCTTCTTTTAACTGATTTCCCCTACTCTCTTACCTTTAATTCCTCTTACTTCACGTAACTAACATAGCTGGGACAGCTGATGTATGGAACGTGGGCATTAAATTGGTGGACCAGGGTGTTTTTCGGGTGTTTTCGTTTTAGACCCATCAAGAAGTCGGAGCACCCCTATCAACTCCTGGATCGGCGACGCGCTCACGAAGGAACACTTACGGGATTCATCCTATCGTTCCAGTCCCACTTGAACTTGAACTTGCACGTCTGTGTTCATTGGTCATGCCGGCATTATTATTCTGGTATATTGGAACATTGTATTTAATGGGAATAAAAGCTCGAGCTTTACATGACCCATAGGGTATAAAGAGTACGGGTCGGATCTAATGAAAGGCTAAGCAACCTTATAGCGGGTTGGACTCGCTTGTTAGCCGTATCTTCATCGGGCTTATGTGGCATTTAAACAGAATGCACGCCGGCTCAAAGCGAGACATCCCACCACGCCCTCCGAAACGGCTTTGGAAAGGAAGTAAATGGAAGAAAAAAATAAAAAATATTCCATCCAGTAGAATGCAGTTAAATTAGGGAATATCGCGGTGTAGCTCGGCCAAATGACAGTCCAAGCGGGTCTTAAAGTCCGCCACAGTGGGTGCCAAGACTAAATCGGCAGGCAGAGCATTCCACGGTCGGCAGATTCGCAAAGCGAAGTAGTGTCGTCTGCAGTTCAGCCGACTGTGCTGATGTGTGAGCCTCAGTGGGTGGCCACATAGGTGGGAGCCCGATTGGTGCAGTGTGAGTAGGTGGCGACAGGGATGTCCAGGGTTGGATAAGATCATGAATACGAAGATCAGGTCGCCCCGTAGACGTCGGTACTTAAGCGAATAGAGTCCCAGGCACTGAAGTCGTTGTGGATAATCTATGTGCTTGAGACCTCGGACCAATTTGGTTGCTCGACGTTGTGGGGCTTCGAGTATGCGTTGGGCCTTCAACAACCAAGAGCTCCAAGCCTGAGTAGCGTACTCCAAGTGGGGTCAAAGAAAAGCGTTAAGGAGGAGGCGGAAATTGCTGGGGTCAGTTTGACCGAAGGCTCGTTTCAGCAATCCCACCATGCGGTTAGCAGCAGCTGCTGCTTTCCGGCGGGAAGCGGATACGGAAAGACTGGTCTGGGTAGTGATACCCAAGTCTCTTTCGGCTGAAGAGATCTGGAGGATAGACGCTCCCAGGTAATATACAGGAGAAAAAGCGGAAGGGCGGGTAGAAAGGACGCGACATTTCGAAGCGTTAAATGGAAGGTTATTTTCTATGGACCACTGATGTAGACGGTCGAGATCCGTCTGAAGTGCGTGGGCATCGTCCGGAAGGTTAATTGTGCGCCACAGCTTGGCGTCATCCGCGTATAGTAGCAGCGAAGACTCCACTTGCGGTGTGACGTCGTCAATGAAGGCTAGGAAGAGGTGCGGTCCGAGAACAGACCCCTGTGGAACTCCGCTTGTGGAAAGGATGCGGGGAGACAACGCTCCGTCGACGCGTACTTGGAAGGTACGGTTTTTGGAGGTAGTTCCGGATCCAGTCCATCAAGCCCCCCGAAACGCCGTAAGATGGCAGTTTCCGCAGCAGAATCTTGTGGTCGACCTTGTCGAAGGCTTTGGCGAAATCCAGGAATCTAACATACGTTTCTTGGCCAGAGTCGGTTGCAGTCGTCCAGCTGTCCCTGGCAAGTAGCAGGTTACTCAGGCAAGACCTTTGACGCCGGAAACCGTGCTGGCAATCAGAGAGCAGTTTCTGGGCCTCCATGTGGTCCATTAAAGCGTCTGCGACGATCGATTCCATCACTTTGGAGATCGTATATAGGAGAGTTATCGGTCGGTAATTGATCGGACCTTTGCGAGTACCGCTTTTGTAGATTGGTGTAATAGTCCCACATTTCCAATCATTGGGAACTTCGCCTTGCAAGAAGAAGTGGGTGAATAGCTCCGCTAGGGGTAAAGCTAGAGCTGCAGCGCACGCTCGCAAGAGCCGTGGGTGGAAACCATCAGCGCCAGGAGAGGCCGTTAGCCGCAGGGATTTGAGTTTCGCCAGGACCTTCTCCGGAGTCGAGAATGATGTCAACGTTGCCTCGATTTCAACGAAACCCGGTCCGCTTTTCACAAATCTAGCTTTCGCAGGCATCAGCAAAGGCGAGCAACTTAGTGGCGATGGATATCAGACTGATATCACTATGCTTTTTTGAGGGACGGGACAAGAACAAAGCTTCTACAGTCGGTTGGGATAGTTTCCTGCTCCCACAGTTTGATCAATCAATTGAGTAAATCGTCCACAACCACAAGCCCTTCGAGTTGGAAGTGGATTGATGTAATTGCGTATGTTTCTGTGTCCTTGCTAAGCCTAATTTCACGATCGATCCAAAGGGACGGCCCAAGGAGTTGGGCATTCACTGGCCAGTGACAAAGCCGACACTTCTGGTCGATTAAATTGCTTTTTAGAGTGTTCTACTCAATGCTATACGTTTAGCAAGTTGTGTATAGGCTATACACTTTTACCGCCTATACCAGGCCTCCTGCGTCATCTCATGCGGAATAACTCTCGATGGTTACCAAGGTCAACGCCAGTTTCCATGTCCGACGCACGATGAGACAACCAGGCTTCGCAGTGTCTTCAGTCCAGCATGCAGCTTTACCCTGAGGTGTTTGTGAGTTTCGGTGCGTTTGCTCCTAGCTGGAACGCTTCAGCGAGAATCCAGGTTCCAGACTGTGTAAATACCGAATGTCTAGTTTCGTAATTAAGTTTAGCCCGTGGCCGTAAGGACAAGGCGTCTGCTTTGCAACCCAGAGGTTGTGGGTTCGAGAATGCGTAAGGGACCATCATCATCATCATCATCATCATCATCATCATCATCATGATGATGATTTGCAACCCAGAGGTTGTGGGTTCGAGAATGCGTAAGGGACCGGATCACGCTCACTCGACAGATGGTGTTTACGTGGCAGAAAAGCGTCGATATGGCGTGTCGGCGTACTGCTGATACCTTTTTTAGCTCATGAAGACATACTTGTTGCTAATAAGGTCTGACGAACATGCAACCAGTGGCTTTCAACTGTGTTTATTGAGCGCTTACCCAACCCGAACGTCTGCGTTCTTTGATACGCACTCAGAACACCCCGCTTTCTCAGTTGGCGGGTATCTACGCCTATACAGCGTCGTCATGGCTTCCACCGTAACGCGTCCGTTGATCCTTACATACTAGTGGTCTGAGTCCACACTTTCACCATAGATCGAGCAGCTGTTTTGGATGCAGCTTCTCCAGCGTTAACTGACTGCAATGTGAATAATTTGCATCCATGATTGGTCCTAAGCTGGAGTGCCATGTCATCCTCCGGAGGGTATTGTGTCGCATGTTAGTGTGCGAGAATTAATCCCCTGTCTTCACACATTTGTAACACCTTTTCTCCTTTATTATTACAAGGGCACACTTTGTTTTTCTTTCACATGGAACTCATCAGTGGACATTCCCAAGTTGAGCCTTCGGAACTCCAGTCAGCACTGCAGTATACATCTTTCTTCTGTTACAAAGGATTTCGTTCATTTGACGATGGAAACCGTCTTTCTACGAGTCAATGCTAAGCTTGTGTGGATATAGACAGCAATGATAATCGAGCACTGATTTACTCCCTGCAACTTCGGATCTTTGAACGAGCCAACCAGTCGGATGGTTCATATCCGACTGCTAATTGTTATCCTGTCTACCATTGCCGTTTCAGGGACGGAGTTCAGAGCAGTACGCCGGATTGACCGGCATTCGAAGCTGCATACTCTCCGAATAGACACAGTGAGTAAGTACCGGCAATGTCACATGAATGCGATCGTAGAGTGGGAAGGTTGCTCGAGTTTTGCAGGTAGGCTTCCGGTAAGCAGTAGATATCGCACTATAGAGTCTAGTGTCTGAACAAGTGCTGCCTGTTGACCGATCTACAACAGAGTGCGTATGTTAAAGCATGCTTGTTAAAGGGAGGATAGGAGACTCCACGTAGAAGCGGGTGAAAAGATGTTACCGTAAAATATACTTTCTGATCTCGTGAACTTATCTCAGATTCGTTTGTAAACAACTTGTTTCACATGCTCATTAATTTAAGATTTATGTCATCGATTTATGTTCATCGATTTATTTTATTTGTTATCTTTCTCTCATGTGATTGACTGTTGCTTGATATCTCCGGTGTGGCTGCGCTTGATGTGTTTGTTGACATAGTGCCTACCTGTCTATTACCCACTACGTCGTCCATACTGGCTCCAGCAGACAGTTGGTCGTTGCTGGAGGGACGGGGTTTACGGTCCTTGTGGCCTTGCTAGGCTCGAAGTGTGGTTCCATGCACTCAGTGTGGAGCGGACTACGGTCCAGCCACCGCTTTGTGCGCACTTGATTACCCAAATAGAGCGTTCTTGTGTTTACCTGTGAAGGAGTGTGGGCCGGCTCCGTTGATGAAACGTGGCTCCCATCCGCATGCCTCCCGGTCTTATTCCTTCGGGTTTACACGGGATATGGGGTGTGTGGATGAAGCTTTGGTTGGTGCAGCGCAAGCCACCCGTGGTCCCTCTGTAGGTACAGGCGTCGTATGGCTGGCCACAGTGACAGGTAAATCCGAAACAGGATGTCGCCAACTATATTCGCAGCAGTCTATAAGTGGACATGGAACCAACGAAAAACCATGAGGAACAAAATATCACAAAGTGCAACTGTCAAGAACAGATAACAAATATTTTGGGGCTTTTATTTTTTGTTTGTTTGTTTTCACACGCCGTTTTGTCCTTTATTTCATTTTCATTGGTATTGCTCTAATCATATTCAAAACATTTTAATATACAGTCCTTCCATTGATTCTTGCTTCGCGTCATGCCTCCAACTGTCTCGGGCCATTTGCAGTCCTCATCCACATGCACTTGTCGACAGGGCCGAAATGATGCCCATCGATTGCTTGTGGGTTGACGCTGGAAAGTAAACGCTTATCAAAGATAACAAAGTATTGGGAGTTGCAAAATTGGAAATAACAGTTGGAATTGGACGATGAGCAGGAAACTGCGTAAATGGGGAATAGGAAGACAGTGAGGCTTCAGCAATTGCATCCTCGTCCATATCCACCTCGCTCGATTCAGCAACTATGGCGCTGTGACTATCCTTTGCGATGACCATAGCCTCAGGGAATTGTATTATATGGCTAGCATACTGTCAAGTTGCCCAAGCCTAAGCAAGATAATGGCTAGAGTTTTACACCAGTCTTGTTCAAATACCTGATCACATGACAGCGTGCTTTGATAGCGGGCTTCAGATAGTCCGTTTTAAGGAATAAAGAGCCACCCTTAATTCAACCCGCAACCTGGAGGACAAGGAGACAGTTTGTCTAACTAATCATTCACCAGTCTGGTGCGATTGACTCTGATGGTGCAAAAACTTTACTTCAAATAATTTATTGATGCTCTGGCCGTCGCAGTAGATAACAAACGGCGCCCTATCTGCTGCATCGAGCAGGGTGGTTAGGGGTTTGGATGCTACTGCCCAAGCCTTCTTGTCCTTCTTCTTGTGCTTTTTCATCCTTATCTTCCCGTTCCAAATTCACTTTTATCCCCTTTGTTTTCTTCCCCCTCCTACACCCTGGTACACTAATCGTTTATCTTTTGCTTCCGGCTCACACGCAATTTCAGAGCGCTGCTCCCGCCCAGTTGACAAGTCCATCCAAACGGACAACGTCAGTACATCTTCTTCTATTTAGAGCCCTCGATCCTCCCTAAGACTAGCATTCTTCAATGTGCGCACTTTGTTGCAGATTGGCCAACAGGCAGCACTTGCCCGAATACTGGAGACCCTATCAATCGATTTCTGCTGCTTATCAGAAACTCGCCTGCAGGATTCGAGTTCTGTGATTACCCTGCGATCCCAAATCTGCGCTTGTCCGGAGATGACGCGACTTCAAATGCCGGTCAACCCGGGGTGGGCATTGCTCTTAGCCTCCAGGTTGAATCTGCTCTGCTCGATTGGATCCCAATGAACAATTGGATATGCGCTGTCAGATTGGCTCGCTCGTTCATAACCTCCAAATTGCTTGGGGACAAACGGTGTTTGTTTGTCATTGCGTCCCACACCCCCACGGATGGTAGCGCTGACTCGGTGAGAGACGAATTCTGTCACCCACTGAACGCACTCCTCCGTCACAGAACAAGTACGGATACTATGGTGTTAGAAAACTGTCCATTGATGAGCTTCATATGGGCGGCCAACAAGGTATAGACTCACGTAATGATAACACTGAGCAGTTGCTGCACCTGTGTGATGATCGTCTCTTTCTCGCGAGCAGTAGCTTCCGACACAGCATCCGCAGAAACGTGACATGGCACTCACTAGCCTCGGATCAGTCGTGGAAGCAAATCGGTCACATCGCGATCGGTTACTGCTGGAGAGGCCGTGTTCAAAGTGTCGCTCGATTTGGACTATGAGCGTGGACTCTGACCACCCACTTGTTTGCCCCTACCGGGTGCGTTTCGGCGGACGTCCGCAACGGTGCTGTGAGCGCATAGATACTTGTCAACTGGCGAAGTCAGATGTTTTGTATGCGTACCAAAATACACTGGCATCCGAGCTGAGTAAAAGCTCACTGAACTCAGCTGACAGTCACTGGTCGCATATTCGCCAGATGTTATTAGCAGCAGGCATGTCTTCATGTGGCAAATCGAATCACCAACCTGGACATTGGGTCTCTACGGAGTCTCTGGCACTTATGGATGCTCGCCTCCGTGTTCCGACTAGAAGCGAACACAATGAGATTCGCAATGCTCTCACGGGGAAATTGCGTGCTAGCTTAAGCGAGACCGCGAAACGTGGTTTCATTGTGCATTGGAGATGGGGACAGCCGCTGCTCTTGGTAGTGATTCCGTCTGATACGAGAAATAGGCAGGAGCCCTGGTCTTGGTGAGAGTGAGTAGCCTCATCTACAGCTTGTCAAAACACTTGGTGTGTTGGGCCAAACACTTTGAGAAGCACTTCAATCGGGCAGATTTGCCAGCTTCTCCATTGGCCAATGATCGCCATACTTCCTGTGCCGTCACTCTGTATCCGCCCTCACATGCAGGAACCGAACATGAGGTCAGACGGCTGTAATTGAACAGGGCTGCCGGAGCAGATGGACTTCATCCAGCCCTCCCCAAATTCGGGGGCCTTGCTCTTTTAGACGCTCTACCTGAATAAATAGGAGCAGGAGACTATTCCAACAGACTGAAGCTGTTGCATGATAGTCCCAATTTTCAAGGTAAGCTCCAGTTCGGAATGCAGCAGTCAGAGTAATCAGTCTGACTGTCTGTCATCCTTCATAGACTAACTAGCACCCGTGAAAGCCAGATGCAGGAGGAGCAGGCCGGGTTTCGTCGAAATCAAGGCTGCATTGACCACATCTTCACATTACGCCAATTGTTGAAGCACCCCCATGTTTAGTGGCGACCCACCGTAGCCATGTTCCTACATATCAATGGGGTTTTCGATTCGGTTGATCAATGTGCCCTTTGGGACTGTCTACTAAGGAAAGTTGTGCCCGAGAAATATGTACATGTCATCAGACCGCTGCACGCGCATAGTTTGGGCGGAGTGAAGGATTACGGAAAACTCTCGCCGCCCTTCAATATCTCCAGCGGTGTAAAACAAGGTTTCTCGCTGTCACCTTTCCTATGCGACTTTGCCATTGACGAAGTCATGGAAACGGCGTTCGCCGGACACGACTTAGAAGGTATGGAGCTGCTCCCAGCTGACCGATTTCTTGACTTAGAGTATGCCGACGACATTTCGCTCACTTGTGGTGGCTCCGAAATGTGCCAAGCTGCACTGAATAAATTAGCTCTGGTTGTCAGTCGTTACGGGCTATACTTTGCACCCTCGAAATGCAAAGTCCTTCTCCAAGTTTGGCGGGGACCCACTCCTGCGCTTGTCCTTGGCGGCTATCAGCTGGAAGTCGTTTAGAAATTTAGGTATCTGTGCAGCTATGTTAGCGCCCGTGGGATTGAAGATGAGGTCACGAACCATGTTGCGAAAGCTCGGAGTGCTTTTGCTAATCTCCTCCACCTGTGGTGCAGGCGTGACATCACTCTCGCTCTGAAGCGCAGAGCTTATAATGCAGCCGTGCGTTCAGCCCTCCTGTACGGTTGCAAAACCAGACTCATTAGATCAGCCGAGATAAAGAGGCTAGGTACGTTCAACCATTTATGTTTTCTAAGCTTAGCTCATGTCTGGTGGGAGCACCACATGAGCAATGCGCGTGTTCGGCGTCCCGTATTTGGTGGCCTGCCCATAGCCTAATGTTCGGGAACTTGTCTTGCAATCTGACGGCGCGGATTAGATCCTGCGTAGGGACATGGCAACCCTCGAAGTATCCCTGACCCACATGTGACCGGTGGTGGTTGCGCGGCAGCGAAGCGTCAGTACTATGTACCGACTACTGCTGATACCTTTTCTTGCGTATTTGGTGTAGGAAGTCGAGTGTATCGCTCAGCACCAGACTCCAATGGCTGAGCCACGTGTTGCGCATGCCAGCACACCGACTCCTGCATCGTGCGTTGTTTGCACGTCCAGTGTCTGGATGGAGGAAAAGGGGGAGAGGCCAAGCGAAGACTTTGCCCAGGGGAATGAAGTCTCACTTCGAACTCGGCGTTGACTGGTGTTTCCCGGAGTCTCTGCAACCTACGTAACCTCGGTTGTTCGCTAAATATCTTAACTTTGTGACCGTAATCGTAGCAGCAGGAAAACAAATGCCCGCCGCCCGTCACTTTTTAGTCTGTCTTTCCATCATTAATGGTGCTA